TATATATATATATATATATACATGCAATACAAATACAATACAAATTAAAGATCAGATTTGGTAAGAATAGAAAGGTCTAAGAAATTTTACTGATATTTCCATGTTTTACGTTCAAATTTCCGCTAAATCAGTGCACAAAGTAAACATATTTACATTATTTAATGTTATTACAAGACAATTTTAAATTTTGGAGCATATCATTCACAGCGTAAGGTTACACATTATGTTATAAAAAATAATAAAAACTAACTTACCCGTTCCTTTTGTGCCCATTCATCTATTACATCTGATGCAAAATTGAAATTTTCGGGAACATCAGAATTTCGATACGATTGATCTTTTACCCTTAATACAGTAGACAAACCTCGTTTCCCGGGGCATTCAATTAACACTTTACAAACTTGATTATAAAATAGAATTCTCTTTGTCGTACAACGATATTGGAAAAGCTTTTTCGAAAAATAATTAATCGAATAAAATCTCATTTTTATTTCTTTCAGATTTTCAGAATTTAATTGTTTTAAACATAAATAGGAATGCTGAGATTCAAAAATTTAAACAAATAAAAAAATATATTTAGGACGAATAATTGAAAAAAACAAAAAAAGCTTTGTTATATGTACATTTTCAAATTAATGACATGGTAGTTTTTTTTTTCCTATGGAGTACACTTTGATCTTTTCAACTGTCGTAATGTTACGTTTATACAGTTTCCATCCAAACTGAAAGAATTATCACCAAAGGAAAATAAAGAATCGAATTATTTCTAGAAAGATTATTTTTATCACTGAGCTTTTTGTTTGATAACGTGCAAATAATGATTATGCGCTTTTCTTTATAAAATTAAGCACGTTATCAAAAATCGACGAATTAGTATGAGTTGTAAATTTTTTTTTACTTTGTGTCTCGTAACAAGTCTTTTGATTTTATTTGTTTGTTTGTTTGTTTTTTTCCTGTTCAGAGATAGTAAACGTTCACACTTTGGTAAAACAATAATTGTATAAAGGAAAGAGGAAATATGGAAAGAGTATAAATGGAGTTTTAATTCTTTTTCCTCCGTAAACAATTTTAATTTCACCCGCCATAAAAACCCTATTACTGGATGTATTTATCAAATTCTATTTGGAATCTTCTTCCTGCTCTTCATATATCCTCTCAGAATTCAGCGAGGATACTAAAAAGATTTTTACAATTCTCAATTCATCTTGAAGTTCAAATAAGAAAATAGAGAGAGAGAGAAAAAAAAGAGGTTCATCTGTTTGAAAATGATGCATGGAAGCTCGAATTTCTTATCAATTCTTAAAAATGCAGTGAAGGCGTTAGAAATATTGAGACAGAACGTCTAGGTTGCTATTGGCAACCACAGTTTTGTTCATTTATCAGTACACATACGTGCAGGCTTGTGTGCTCAACTACGTAAGTATAGCTTATAAGCCTTTGTCAAGTATACCGGTAAGCAATACCGGTAGGCCAGAGAGAACTGTACTGATCGTTCCTAAAAAAATTTTCGAGTGACTGTACAATACGGAGGAAAGTAGGATTACGTAATCGTTTCTCACGAGTTTTCAGTTTGAAACCAGTGAAACCAATAAAGAATTGCTCCCTTAATTATGCAGGCGTATGTACTACTTATTACAAAGGCGGCTTATAAGCCCTTGTCAAAACGAAGAAAAGATAGCATAAATTAGAGTGGGGCATATACATCCATGGTTATGGCAGGATTCGAACCCTCGACTTACTCATAGCGTTTGGCGGATCAACGGAGCTGTTCGTGCGGAAAAATTCCCTAATAGTGTTGTAATGTTAGCAAGAAAAGAAAAAAAAGGAGTACAAACTTATTGCAAACTTACTTCACGTGTGCGTTACGCGCCTTCTGGACGGCTGTCTGGTTTCCGTGTTCGAGGGGCCTGGTTCCTGTGGACCTCCGGATGATGTGGAAGGGGTGTTGTTCTACTCAGTGGCCATGAAAAAACATAAACCTGCTTCTCGGCTGGCCGCCTATGGTGCCCAAATCTATCTATAGGCTTTCAAGTTAATAATTTCTGTTCTGCTCAGCATAGAAGAGTACAAATTTGTTCCTAACTGTGGTTTGTGAGGATTATCCGTTAGAAATGAACGAAAAACAGGAGAATGTAATTGCGATTGTTTGCTGCATTCTACCTAGGAATCCAAAACCATTTATTATTATTACCACATAACAGATATATCACATGTAGTTTTCTAATATAACTAAGTGATTTAAAGATTATATAATGATTTAAATACAATTTATTTGAAATGAAAATATCTTTTAAGCCGAGAGAGAGAAAAGATCTGAAAGGATTTTACTTCACTTTATTTGACAAAATTGAGAGAGGTTTTGAAAGGGTAGAGAGGGACTTATTTGCTTTAAAAAAAAGTACCCCTCCCCCGTTATAATATCACAGATTAATTACAAAACAAAATTTGGGGCTTTATCTTTTCAACCTAAATATTCTCAGTAAATTTTGTTTTAGAAGATCAAATAGTTTAAAAACAATTTAATTGAAATAAAAGTTTCATTTCACAAGCTAAGGAGCTGAGTTATTTAATGAGCATTTTTTAGGTTTAGCTCTTTAATCAGTTTCTCATTCTATACTTTTAATTTTACAGGTAAAAAAATTAGCGTAACCATAAGAATTTATGTTTTAAGAATAATGAATGAATGATTTGAAAATAATGATTTTTAGCAAAATATATAAATTTTAGTTTATGTTTCATTAAACAGATGGCAGCACTAAAGTAAAAATTAAAAAATATTAAAAGTTTATTTACATGAAATTTAAAATCAAAGTCATTATTTTTGCACGATATACAATAAGAATTGTAAAATATATTATTATTCTTTTTTAATAAATTCAATATAAAATCCCACAAATAAACAGTTCTGAAACACTATAATTTATATGGGTAAAATTTTGTTTAATTTATTGTTGCGTGCTGCCATCTGTTAATATTTTAGTTAAAATATATTCATTTTAAAAACAAAATGTTAAAAAAAAATTATTAATTTAAAAATTTAGTAAATTAAAGACGATACAATTTAGGTAAAAAAAAAACTATTTTATTCGTTTCTTGTTTATTTGAAAAAAAATCAAAATTTGTTAATATGAAAATAAAACTGAAGGAAGCAAATTTTTCAGTAATCAAAATTATTAAATTGAAATTTTTGTCCTTGAAGACCTGAATTTAAAGGGTAAAGTTAAAAACGAAAAGTAATGAATCAAATAATTGCATTGAAGCTATTAAAAATCAAATCATATACTCAAAAAAATTATCAAACTATTAACAATTACATGTCTATGAATATATCATAAGCAATTGTTTTTACTAAATAAATTTCTCAAAAAAGAGATAGAAAACATTTTCTTTATTTACTTATATTTTTTTTTTCAAATTATCAAACACGTTTGCATAATCAATAAATTATTTTTATCCAATCTGCAGCACCACCTTCATAAATTAAAATGCGATCAAGTAGAGTCGACAAAAATGACAAAATTTATGACAAAATTTGAATATACAACAAATGTATATTTAAATTAGATTTGTAATTTATATAATAGTGTTTAAATGAAAAATTAAGTAAAACTTTAATCAAATCTTATAAGCAACCTAATAGATAAAGAAAAATCTGATACCATATTGTTTATTTCTGCAACAAATGTTTGTAAAAATATATTCCTCCAGATAAAACCACATTCAAATTTCCTTGTAGCACTAGACGTATGTTGCACCTGCATGATTTGTTTTGGGTGTTAGATTTCAAAAGAAGGAGAAATCATTACCATCTATGAGAATAGAGAAGAAAGAAAAAAGTTTACTCTTGTACTTGCTCTGTATTTTATTCTATAATTTTCTTTAAAAATGGTAAAAAAAAAATGAATAATGTAGGGCTGGTAGTTTATTATATTTATTGAAATCTGAAATAATAAAAAATAACCTGCATATGGTGTGATATCTACAGCGCCCGATGCTGTGTTAATGTTTCTGTTATCGGAATCAATAGAAATAAAAAAGGTTCTTATCCATTTTTCATTTCTTTTGACGGAACAAATAAATTCAGCTATTTTTATTTGTTTGTTTATTTCACGTTTATTTTATTATTTATTTATTCAAGTAAAAAAATAAAACAGTTGAGTTTACTGTTTTATTTATTGGCGACATTATCGCTGGCGCTGGCGAAATTGATAAGTGCTTAAAAATTATCTAAAAGAAGTAAAATAAAAAGAAAGGTTGAAATTTTACATGTAGATCATTGCAAGAAAATTTGGCAAGTTTCTTGGTAATTATTTGTATGAAAGCTTCTGATTAGAAGAAACTATTAGCTATATCAAACTAGCTTCTATCAAAAGCAATCAGAAATTTGTTGTGAAAGAATAACAATAAGCTTGAAATTTATTAGTTCTTAAAAATATCTAATAATATCAGCCATAATATAAAAAAACTTAAACTCAAAACAATTCCTTAATTTTTTAATTATACATACAAACTTGATAAAAAGAATGACCTTGATTATAAAGCGAACAGATAGCTGCAATATTTAAAGAATAAACTAACTTTTTGGTTTCAAAAAATCATCAATTTGGCGATAGCTTTGATGCTCTTGCTAATCATTAAAAATAATGAATATTTCTCGATCTTTGCATTTTTTTTTGTGGATAACGTTTAGAATATGAAAATAAGATATTAAAATATAAAAACATTTTTTGAGTTTTTTTCAAGCATTGAAAAAAATCAAATCACAAGCGCTATTCTTTTTCTCAAAACTATAACCTATTAAGTCTTATTAACATTTTGCATCATTTCTATAACTAGCGCTGAGAGCTCTGGTAAAAAATGGAAAACTATAACCTAGCAGTTTTCAATAACTGTTACAGTCTGACAATAGTTGCAAAAAGAGCATATTATTCGTTACAAATCATTATTCTAAGCAATGACTAAATCTTCGTAGAACAAACTTTGGAACAGAAAATTTTGCCATTTTGGAATAACTTCGAACTATTTTGCGTTAATATAAATCTTAATTACAGTATTAAATTATATTTCTTTAAAAAATAAAATTTCCAGTAAATTATAAATACATTAAAAATCTAAGATAAAGTGTTAACTGCACTTACCTCCATTAAAATAGCATGCATGTTGAAGGAACATCAATTGCATTTTATTTGCAATTTCATCGTATGATACCCTCTTCTAAGTTCAAATCTTGTATAAGGGTGATTTAATATTCCATAAATGATCTTTCAATTTTATCGTATTAATAAAAAATTGTGTCATATCATTATTCCATTCGAATTCTCTTAGTCGCCATATTTTGTTTACAAATGAAAATGAAATGAAACGTCATAAGCTGCAGACGATCTGATTGGCTCAAGTAAGAATTTGCCTGATATTGCAGATATTCAGGATAAGAATTGCAGATATGTCGGACAACCGTGATTTCTATATCACACGAGGATTTTTCGAGCAATTTTTGGAGAAATTGCCTTTAGAGATGCGGATAGAGTGGACACTTACAGTTGCACTTATTTTCTGTCGTGTGATATAGGCAGTTAGCAACTTTGTTTCAGTTGGATAATAAATTATTTAGGTTTTTAAAAACTTTTTGTGAGGATGTTTACTAAGCTGCTTGTTTTTGTTGCCTGTATTGGAGGTGAGAATATCTTTGAAATTTTATCTCATTATATATAATATCATGTTATTGTGTTATTATTATTTTATAGAACCATTAAAGTATGGCATTAATTTTCTTTTTTTAAGCTATTGAATTAATTGCATTATTAATTCATTTAAAATTACCACCATTAGATTTTTATATGGAAAAAACTACATATAAAGTTTTAAATTATTAATATAGTTCTAAAAAAATAATAAATAAAATAACAATAAATAAATTGTTATATTGTAGGTTTAAAAAAATAACACTACAAATGCATGACAGATCGGTTTATTAAAACTCGCGTTTTAAATACGGTGTAAATAGGTTTCGATTTACAAAATAAAAATAACACAAAATATACAAATGTTTAAAATAAATTAATTAATTAATGCTTAAATTCCAAATATTTTAAATGCATTTCATTGTATTAATATTTTTTTTAAAAAAATTATTAATTTATGAATTTATTGCACCACTATAAATTAATTACTATATCAAAGACAACATCTAAATTTTTGAACTATTTGTATTGTTTTTGAAGATAAAGTTCCTTATTTATGACTACATTTCATATTATAATAAAATATCTAAAAAAAACTGTTAATTTTTTTAAAAAAAAAAAGAAAAAAAATATGAATTGGAAAAAAAAAGTATGAAATATGTTTTAGAACTTGTAACTTTTTTTTCACTTCAGTTTAGTTTTCTTCTTAAAAGACATTTTAAAGCTTATTTATTTCCAAGTGATAAATGATGTCCGTCTCTAAAAAATTTTAATGTTCCGAATTTAATTGTGTTATTATGGTTTTGCTTCCGAAAACTAGGTCGCATTTTCTTCGAAACTCTCGCCTTAACCTCTTAAATGGTCGCATAATTTAAGGGAAAAAAACAGTCATAAAAGTGCCTATTTTTTATTCAAGAAAGTTATATAAAACTACGTTTATGTATGTTTATGTCCTCATCCCTAATTGTTGGGTTAAGCGCAAACCTACATGTTTGATGACTGATGATATCTAGCTAAAATTAAACAACTAAACACATTACAAATAGTCGAGTACTGTCATATGGTGTACAGATTGAGAAATAAAAATAGTACCGAGCATATGAAGCAGATTGTTTTAACTTTATATTGTTTACTTTTGTGTTTATAGATAGATTGTTTTAATAGATTAATTTTGAACGGGAATGAGAAATAGAGGGCGAAGCTTTTCTCCGTCATTTTGACACGAACGAGAAGATAGTTATGCTAAATTTTAAAAAATCTCTTTACTCCATTTTTAAAAAGTTTATTAAAAATAATTCCTTTTAATTTAATTTGTTCAATTTTAAATTATCATAAGCCAAAAATTAATCTTGAAATTGCATATTTTTAACTTTAAAAGAAAACATGTCAAGCCATGGTGGTTGTTTTATTTATTTTCAAAAGTTACAATCAACCTGAGAATGCAAACGGAAATTAATTTTTGAATATGACAGGTTGAAAACAAATATCAATTTTCATAATAAAATTAAGTTTTTTTTTTACATTAAGATAATGTCATACCTTTTTGACACAAACAGTTTAATTAAAGACTAAAAAGATCACTCATAACCGATCCATTATCTTTCATTACTTTAGTGTAGTATTTAAAAAAGATACATGAATTTTGGATCAACTACATTATTACTTAAGCTTAAAGAAAAATACTTTTAACTTTCAAATTTGAATTGTTTTCATATTTGTTTGAAATTGATTTTTTACCATATGATGAATACTAAATAAGATATATGATAATACTTTTACGATATGATATTTTTACTAAAATAAGATAAATTCAATTACTTTGCAATACAAACATTTCAAGAAAAAAAACGAGACTATAAACACAACATGTTTATGAAGCATGCAATATTTGTCTTTTATACACGGTGTTCCATAATGGCCACCCTTAACTTAAATTTTTAAAATCCCAGTTAAAAATAAAGTCATAAAAATATGCACATTTAAGTTTAAAAACAATTATTAAAGCAAGAAAAACAATTGAAAAAAAAATGAATCAAGGCTGCAAAAGGACTGAATTAGCGTAATTTATTTGATTGTCAGAGGAAGCAGGGAGAAATGGAAACTGATTTTTGATGTTTCCAATCCAGCCTTCACCATTCGTAAGATTTTAACATCGTTTTCCCCACATTTTGTTGTCAGAAATGAGTGTACTGTTTTTACTTCATTTCTTACAAGGATGCTAAATATATGCATAAAGGGCATAGCTTTTATATATATCAGAATATATTTATCAGAATAGCATTTATATAAGAGTGTTCTTCATTATTCTATTTAGATTATAAAGTTATATGTTATTAGTTTGTTTGGTTACATAGAATGATATATTTGAATATTCTGTGGAAAAATTACAATTAGAATACACATTAGGATAAAAGTTATAAGGATCAGTTTATGACTTAGATTGAAATGCTTAAAATGGAAGTTACGAGCTACGAATATGGGGACTTCTGAGATATGCTATCAAAGTTTATCGAAAATTTCAAATCATTAATTTATTTACTAAATCATTTTATTTTATAACAGTCGCTGAGCAGCCGACCCAATTTTGTGTGAAAATGTGATTAGATTTTTTTTTTCTAGATCTAAGATTCATTTTCAACTTGATTAAATCACTAAACTTTAAACATTAAGATGAACATAAAATTTCAATCAATAATTAATTTATTTTGTCTATTGTCCAACGATTCATTTATTCATTCAATTTTATATACTTTGCAGTTATACTGGCAGCTGATAACAGCTCTGTTCTGGATTGTATAAAGGGAAAGTATGACGCTGATGTAAGTATTTTTCAAAATGACAGCAAACTAACTGTGAATACTTTCTATGTTAATAATAATCCATATCCATTTCTTCAAAACTGTTGCCTAATTAAAACGAAATTCACTAAGAAAATATCTTTCCCTTTTTTGTGTTTTAAATGTTTATTATACCATACTGAATTTCAAATACATTTTCGAATTTTTTTTATACATGCAATGTTTAATTTCTTTTCTTTCTTTTTTTTTTTTTTTTTTACTTGTTCCGTTGTATTATACATCAAGCAGGAGTCCATAAACCCTCGATGCCAAGTCGTCACGACGTCTTGCAAATCGTAACTAGTTCTCAATGTTTCATTACAATTTAATCGGGTTTTTTTTCAGTTTCGGGGAATTTTTGAGGAAAATTTAACCTGGCACCGAGAAATTTTGAATTTTTTACAGACCCCTAATAATAAGTATGCAAAAAATCTTTTCAATCTTCTTTGAAGCATTTAAAAAAAATTTTATTTTAAAAATTAAGTTATAAAATGAATTCAAATTATTTTCTTCGAAAAGGTGAAATATTATGCTTTTTTTAAAACTTATTCGTATCATGACGTTAGACTTTATTTCGTTTTTTTCCTTCCGAAATTGAATTTCAAGTGATAAAGCTTACATTTGAATTTTTTACTTCAATTTTTCTTAAAAAACATTAGTTTTTTTCTCTTAATTTTCGCAAAGCTTAATAAATTAAAAAACATGCCATTTTAATTTTTCAAGATTTTTAAAAAAATTTGAATATTAAATAATAACATTAATTAAATAATAACATAATAATTAACACTAATAATAACATAGTTAATATTAACAAATAAAAATATAACTGAAATTAAATTATAACATGCACAGGTTTTGTTAAAAAAATAAAGCAAAAAATATTAAATTTGAAACCTGATGCTTTCTAATTTAATAATATAAAAATTAGAAATATTAATTTCCAATTATTTTAATTTGTTTTCTTTAGTTTTAGCTAATGTTCAATTTGAGTTAAAAACCGTAATATTTAATCTTTTGGAAGAAAATTATTTGTGTTATTTTTTAAATTATAAAAAAATCTAAAAATTAAGCATTTTCCGTACTGAACAGCTTTAAAATTCTAACTGTTATTTATTTTTATCATTATAAATCCAGAAATTTACGAAATTGTTAAGAATTTTACGGGCAGTTTTAGTAAGTTATTTTTCGAATTTTTTTTAAAATTTTATCGTACTTAGAAATTCAGAAAGCCACTTTAAATTTTAATTAGTGTCAATATATTAATCCGTTGTACTAAAAATTTATTTCGTTTTCTTTAGCTGGGCAATTCTTTTACCAGTTGCTACGAATCATCAAAAGTCTTGAGGGTAGCAAGAGTGAAGACTGTAAGTTAAACAAAATTAAAATTTATGCGTTTGTGTTCAGAATTATTTCAGTATAATTTATTACGATTGTTTTTTTTTATTATTGTCCTTTTTATAGTGCTACAATAACGTGATGAAAGATAATGGAGTCATTGTGAGTAAAAAATGTTTTTCTCTTCTATATTATTCGTATCAAAATGGTCTAAGTATAACATAAATACTTATTTTTATTATGACAATTTATATTGATTCACATACAGTTGTTTTCAGTCAGAGTGTTTACAAAAGAATCTTATACATAATTACTTTTTAGGCAAACTAAATAAACAAATTATTTCATTCAACTCAGTTTATAGAATGCATCAAATTAGTTGTTAAATAATTTATTAAAAAAAATTCGAAACCTAGAAAAGGTGATTGTTTAAGGCACGTTATTTATTCATCCATTGTACAATCATGGAAATGCGTTTGAAATAAGGTATTTTGATCATATATTCACATTCTAAGATACTTGGTGATACAAAAAGCATGCCTTAAGTCTTTGGATTAATTTAAGAACAGCCATTGCCGACGTTTGACGAAATGTAATGCAATAGGCAGGAAGAAACGAAATATCAAATAACTTTCGATTTAATGATCAGATTTTTGGGTAATACGATGCAATCGAAATCTTAATCCTGTAGAAATAATATATCCGCAGAAAACCTTGTTGAATTTCTTTGAATAAACTGAGACTTTTATAGATTGATTCTTGATCCTCCAAGTATTAAAAGTCTCACGAAACTTGCAGCCCTTAAAAATCAGTCAAAAAATCATAATCAAAAATCATACATCATAAATTTTAAAATTTATTTATTGTTATTTAAAATATTATTTTAAATAAGTACTAAGGCATTTCCGATCTGCGGATATAAGAAAAATATTTGATTAGTAAAATACACAATTTTAAATGCTAATATCTGAAAGGTCAAATAAAACGGTTTTCAATAAATGATAATTGAAAAACATTAATTTTTATTTTAAAAAAAAGCTTGTTAAACTACTTTGTTATCTTAAAATGTTAAATTACTTTGAACTATTAATGTCTATTCAATAAAGTCCCTTTATCTTACTTAGTTAGGATAAAAAGTTGCTACAAACACCTACAAAATTGTTCGTTAGTGAAAAATAGTGCAGTTTGTTACCACACTTGGCAAATTTTCTCTCATCTCTCGTTTTTTTTTCTCCCATTTTGCAAGGTTTTCGCTCACTGTTTAATTTTTTATTATTATTTTCAGTTAACTGTAATTATGCTGCATTTAATCATATTTTCATTTAAACAATGGCAAGCAGGCATACCTCATTAAGATTAGAAAGTTGATAAACAGTGTCCGTCTAAGAAGTTTCGTTGTTGTAGTATGAACAAAACATAACATGAACCTACTACCTTTTTTTCCGGAGTTAAGAGACACGGAAATAATCTAAAGTTCCTTAAATTATTGATTAACTAGTTATCTGAATTTATTACAGTATTCGTGGTTCGTTCCGTTTTAGAAAAAAAACTAATATTTATCAAATTTTTATGTGTATGTATATATATATATACATATGGCATATAATAGCAAACCAAATTTGATAAAAGTACCTAGTGTACCGAGATTTTTAAATCAAATTATTTTGAAAAATTATAATTATTTAAAATTAATTTTTTATGCAATACTTTAACTAGTTAATATTAACTTTAAAAACAAAAAAAGGAGTCTTTAATTTTAAGATTCCAACAGATGAAAAACACTTCGTCAATGATTTCTCGTTAAGGCAACGAGTAAAACGTTCAGAAATTTTAGTTCTCATTCAATCACGCCTTGTTAACCATAATTGTAACTCTCTGAGCAAGATACAGGTTCTCAGTACAGGGAACTATAATTCAATCCCTTTATACTATATTTCTTTGCTATTTTTACTCGATGTAAGTTTTGGTTTAGTTAGCACTATATTTCTGGTAAGTTAGCACTATATTTTTGATGTCAATTCACACATTTCCGGGAATGTTGATTAATGAAAACTATAGTTAGTCTAGTATGAGTAATTCCAAATTCAAGAGCATCATTTTCATATAGGAGATCAAAATATGTAAAGTTTTTGTAACACAATTATTTGTTTTTATTATTAAAATATCCATTTTAATGTCAAAGTAATTATTTTGATGATCAGTAAATTTATTTATAGTGACAAAATTTACTTTTTGTGTTAAGTAAGAAATTACAAGAAATAACTTAAATTTAAAAACTAAATATTTTTATTGCAAGCAAATTTTGTAAGATGTTATAATTTCGTTAGACTCAAATTTTTTTACTATTTAAAAATGAATCTTCACAAAAGACTGTTTTCAGCACATGGATCTAATGATACACAAAAGGGATCCATGGACTGTTTTTTTATGCACAAGAAAAGCCTCGATGCTCACCAGATCTGAATCGAATGGATTTTTTTTTTCCATTTTGGAAATACGGGCTTTTTCCGAGTCCCATAAAGCTTTGTCATTTTAAAATATCTTAAGTAATGGGAAAAATATCAGCAGATGAATTGCGGCCCACAGCTGAAACATTTTTGGTGCGTTAACAGCTCTGCAATGATGCCAAATATTTATGGTTATTATGAAAGTTTGTAAATACTTTTCAGATATTTTCATGTCTGTTTGCGTAATTCTGGTTGAGGTAATTTCAAAAGCAATTAAATTAGATCACTATATTTTTCCCTATTATTTCTTATCCCCCTATATTATTATTATTGACAAAATGATTCCAATTTAAGATCAAGTGCAAATAATTGCAACCTCTGTGTGCTTAAGTATAAGCTAAGCATAAACAAGTTCAATTGCAGGTTACTGCCAGCAACGGTCAAATGACAGTAGACCGCACGAAGTTTGAAGAATATGGACACTCTAACAGTCAGAAACCGATTGGTAAAGCCATGAAGGAATGTTACGATAGTTCTGATGACAGACTGTTCAAAGAAGTAGGATTTTTTTAATATATACGGAAATAATCTAAAGTTCCTT